GAACAGTGATTAAAAAATAACCTGTAAAACTCTGATGATAAATGTGACGTGGTTGAAAATTCGGGTGCACCTAACTTTAGTGCTGGTGCAACTAAGAAAAAATGTTAGACGCACCAGTGCAACCAGTGCAAAAAGCTAGTCTAGAGCCCTGACCCCAAACCCACAATGTTGTTCAATAAAATCTGATCTCCATGATGAGAAATAGCTCTGCCAATTTTTCCAATAATTCGTAAATTTTCCAGATTCTGATCTGATAGAAAAAGTCAATAGGTTTACCGTTTTTTAAAGACACTCAGAGATGCTTTACATTATTCATTCACACACACATTAACACAGTGATGATGGTAAGCTACAATGTAGCTACAGCTACAACGGGGCTGCCATGCTGACCACCAGCAGGCAAGGCGGGTGAAGTGTCAAGGACACAATGACAAGAGATGGTTGGAACGGGGAATCGAACCYGCTATCCACTGGTTACAGCTCCTCTATATTGTCACTTTAAATTAGAAATGTTTTTTTTTCTGACACATGACAAAATCAACTTAGAAGAAACATATTTATGACACTGTGTTCAGGACAAAGTTTACCAGTTCTGCAGTAAGACGTGCTGTGAGGACTATAAGAAGCTCCACTGCATTGTGACGTTCTGCGAGTACTGCCAGGAGGAAAAAACACTTCACGAGATGGTCAAGTTCTCTGGTGTCAAAAGACCGTTCTGTAGTGAAGGTACTCTTTTTCCTGTCTTCTAAATCACTTGATAATTCTCATTTTGGTCATCTAACATAATTATTGTTTGTCTTAATGTCCTGATGTATGTTCCCCCTCTTATTTATTCTGAATTCCCTTTGTCTCTCTAGGTTGTAAACTGCTGTTTAAGCAGGATTTTATCCAGCAGCTGGGTCTCAAGTGTGTGAGCTGTAACCATTGCAACCAGCTCTGTAAGAGAGGCGTGACCCAGGAGCTCGGTGGCATGACCCGAGACTTCTGCAGCGACACGTGTGCCAACAAGTTCAACGACTGGTGGAACAAGGTGGGTCCTTTTTAAAATGAAGTTTAAATGAATCCCTGTGTGTGCTGAAAGCTGTTCTTCACCCTCTGTAATCCTCTCCTCCTGGCCACCAGGCGGCGAGGTGCGACTGCTGCAAGGTGCAGGGGAACCTGACTGAGTCTGTGATGTGGAGAGCAGAGATGAAGCAGTTCTGTGACCAGGAGTGTCTGCTGAGGTTCTACCTGCAGCAGAATGAGCCCATCATGGTCACGCAGAAGGGACCTGAGAACACCACTCTGGGTACAAGCTGAATACCTGCTCCAGTCTTGATTGAAATCTTTGTGARATAAACATTTTTTGTTGTAGAAATTTCCTTGGTTTTTATATTTTTTGGGGGGAGTATACAAAATCAACCTTTTTAAGCTTTATTTCATGTTATAATGTCATTCCCTCATCAAAAACATGCTTTGACTCATTCATGCATGTTTGAGAAACCCTTGAATCTCCTGTGGCAGCCCTTTGGAGCTGAAAGCACTGTGTATTTCCACAAAGCTCCTCTCTGGAGCTCAGTCTGCAGGTGAGCTCCCACCCCACCMAGCACCCCTCCCCCACGCAGCTGCACGTCTGTTGAGCTTGTAATACTKACTACTTCAGTCCATTCTTTTTTGGATTAAAAAATGCTTTCATCAAGGAAATGTATTTTTAGATGCCAAGGAGACACTTAAAACGCTTCTGGTGGGCACTAGTCCTCTAAAGCAGTGCTTCCCAACCCTGGTCCTCAAGTAAGTAAGTAAAGTTTTATTTATAAAGCGCCTTTCACAGAAATATATTCACAAGGTGCTGTACAGTCATTAACAGTATAAAAATGGTGGAAAGAATAAGATGAAACAGAAGAACATAATTACACATAAGCAACGAAAAATTGAAACATCAAAACAAGAAAAATTTCTAAAATTGTAAATCAAACACAAGGTCAATGCAGGGCAAAATATACAATAACACACAAAAACAATGAATGCGGGAGAGAAAATATGGTGTAAGTTCAATAATTAAGGACACAGATTGATGAGCATTTGAGGTAGGCTGGCATTAATGGTGAAAATGGTTAGCTAAACGCTTGAGTGAAAAAAGTGTGTTTTTAGGAGTGACTTGAAAGAGACAATGTTATCAAGGGAGGACAGATTAAAAGGGAGTTCATTCCAGAGCCTGGGGGCCACAGAGGAGAAGGACCGGTCACCACGGGTCTTAAAGCGATTGAGGGGAACCATGAGGAGATTTTGATCTTGTGAGTGGAGGTCTCTGATTTGACACACCTGGTTTGAATGAATGAGTGATTAACAATCTTCTGAAGACCTGCTGAATAACAGGGAAACAAGTAAAACATGCTGGATAGCGATACTTGAGGACCAGGGTTGGGAACCACTGCTCTAAAGCGCTAATCAGGGCAGGGATGACGTCACAAGAATTGCTGGGAATCCCCAAAGTCCCGGAAGTCAGACATAGTTTGCAGCGGACTGCATACATCATGCCTGAATCGAAAGCTTTTTCTTTTTTTTTTCTTTCTTTTTTTTTGTCATATAAATGTAAACGAAGATGACGTTCCAGGCGCCATAACTGAGTATGATTGTATGAAGAGATGCAGCAGCACTCAGCTAAAGTGTTGGCTACTATGTAGAGGACTGAGAATGTCCGGCTATCATGTTGACTTGAGACAATGTTTGGTTCCTGCATTGTTATCGGGTGTTCCGACAGAATACTATACCCATCAGAATAGCATACCCTCAAGCAATACGCATGCACTGCAAAGAAATCCACATCATTGCGCATGTGTCAAATCCCCATCATTTCACCATACCTCCAACTACAAGCGGTAAGTTTTCCATATACACTGAGGTTTTTTATTTTATTTTTAGCCAGTGGAGAGTGAGGCATAAAGCCACTAAGGTTAGTTTTAGAAAAAGTGACCTGGGTTAGGGTTAGAATAGCATACTTCTCTTTAAAGTGTGTTTTATATACAACAAATAGGCTTAGCTGTAAGAACAGCAGACCCCTTTGCAAACATTGGTATGTTGTTCCAATAAAGTAACTTAAACTGACAGATGGAGCTATAACAATCAACTTCCGGTATGCTATTCTGACAGGGTATGCCGCTTCGATAGAACACCGGCGTTAGCCATTAGCTGTTAGCAAGCTATGTTGTGTGCCCAGGAAAAACACGTGAATTAGTATTATTTAAATTACTGGAAGGAAGCAGCAGTAAGTGCAAAATTGGACACATTTATGCAGGCTGTTTGAAAACAAACAAAAAAATGTTCAGTGCTCCGTTTTCTTACTTTGACACGAAAGAATAAAAAACAGAATGGATGGACAAACCTGTTCAGGGACTGCAGTTGCTGGTATGGGGTCAGTGTGCTCCTTTGTTGGTCTGTTTTCTCCACCAAAGTTTTTAGAACAGATGTAGGTAATCCTCACATTTTTCCAGTCGAAGGCAACTCGGCCACAAGAGTCGAATCCAACAATCAGGTTTCTAATGCCTAATGCCTTGCATGTGAGGCTTGTCAGTAAATCAGTTGTCACTACTGCAAGTCCCGTAGCAACAATGCTGATACAATTTTTAAACTCATTGTTGGTGCAAACCACAACTTCTGCACTGGACTCAGCTGTAGCTGCAGTTCATCCTGACTGACATCCGGAGACTTGATGATGTCACACATTGAGTAGGGAGTTATTTTTAGTAACTGAACAACATTTTTGCAGACCTAATGCCCCTTTTCCACTGCCACTTAGTGTAGTGTCGGTACGGTTCCAAGCCATTTCCATTAGACCAGATCCATGGAACCGGCACCTTTTTTAGTACCTACTTCATTGTGGTTCCAACTGGCCCCAGCTGACACCAAAATGCGACGTCAGAACACTGTTCGTCACTGATTGGCTAAATTTTTGCAAATGTTTAAAATTTCAAAAGTTATTCATCAAATGTGTTTCCGTCTCCCATTTTGCCCATTAATTTTTTTTTCAAAATACCTAAAAACCACCTCCACCAACCGCCCAAAACACACTCATTGGAACCGGACTGGAACATCAGTGGAAAACCAACCGGTCCGAACCGTACCGACCCGTACCTACACCGACCGTTCCGATACTACACCATGGAAAAGGGGCATAAATTTCTCAGTTGTGCATTTTGCTAATTGTTTATCAAAAACAGAACAATGTGGATTTGTGCTTTCTAAATTTATGAATGAAGTAGCGTTAATTTAATTATTTCATCAAGTGTTGATCGGCATTATTTTTAACAGCAGAGGGAGACAGTCACCACGTCAATACAAAGCAGAATCACTATATGAACAGCCTAAATGATCCAGCTGTGATTAGCACTGCCTGAGCTTTGAGGCGCACCAGACTTGAACTGATGAGGTCCTTTCAGACTGAGCAGTTGAAAGAACTTACCATCACTCACTTCAGCTCTACTTGGGTCTACATGGTCTCTGTGGATTTTCATATGACTTGTGGGTCACCTTGATGTGGGTGGGATAGCAAACACAACACATCAAAGGGCGAACAGTTAAAGTCAAAAAGCACTCACCGTCCTCTGCCACGGTTTTCAAAACCATTGTGGCTGAGTCGATGCCACCTTCCCTCCACCGGTCTGCCTGTACATCTGGTAGTTCTGATTGAATTCTGTCATCGGTCAACAATCATGGAACCGTCTGCACCTCATAATACGACAGTGTTAAGTTTGATTGGTGTGATTTCTCCTTTTAGTACTGTACAGTGGTTTGCAAAAGTATTCATACCCCTTGAACTTTTCCATATTTTGTCACATTACAACCACAAACATAAATATATTTCACTGGAAT